CCAGGTAACGACTGCACCCAGAAACGCACGGATGGTATGACATCTTTACAAAGACGGGTCTTTAAAAAGACGTTCCACCCGTGAAGCTCTTTTAGTATGGAATTTGCTCTTTTAGTGTGCCGAAGCGCACAGGGGAGATGGCCGTCTGCAACACACACAGGGGTAGTGCAGCCTGCCGTGTGCAGCCCACTCGACACGGGAAACCACCACCGCTGAAGCGCCGTACCACCAGCACGAGAGCCCACCGAAGAGCGTGCTTGACTGTAGTTTATCACTACTGCAGAGGTCAGGAGCAGAACGATAGAACCGCTCGGCTCCGAAGCGAAAAGCTGAATATGCGCTGCACCTGCTGCCTACTTATACTCACGCTGTGATCAGCAGCAGCTGGATGCAATAATCGCATGCCAATGTGCATTGGCTCGTTTAGTTTACACTCGAAGTAGATTGGTCCCTCTAAGCGAGATCCCAATTCGTCGGTCCTCCGACGTGACGTCGAGAGTGACCGACTGAGAGGGAACTCCTCACCTCTTCCATACTTCATATAGCTCATAACTCGTTTGAACGTATGCAAATTTGTTAAACTGTTTCAACAAAAGCACATCATGTTAAATGACAGTCTAACTAAATATCTGTTTACTCTATAGGAGGAACATGCATCAGTTAACAAAAGGTTTAGAGGAACCAGGGGAATTGCGCTGGCCATTGGTTGGAACATTAGCATTGTCTTGGATTCTTGTCTATTTCTCAATCTGGAAAGGAGTGGAGTGGACGGGGAAGGTGTGACTGCCGATATTCTTTCTATTTTTCATACTACACCCCAGCATTGTTTCTAAAAACAAACTTTAATCGCTTTTCATCCCCTTTGCATACTTGTCTTCTCATTTGCCTTCTCTTTCATCTCAAACTTACTTTTGGAATCTTTTTGTTCTTCCATTTCCAGACAATATATTTCCATTTAAGAAAAATATATTACTCAGAGATTGTTTTATCATAGCTCAGTAGACTTCTTGGAGTTTTAAAGTATGTTTTATATAACTGTGTTGTTTCATTAAAAAAATAAAAAAATAAAAAAAAATAAAAAAATCTATAGCAGAAAAAAATATTGTTTTGAAAGAATTTGATTCTGACTTTCATTTGCAGAGTTTGTGCTGTACATAGTTTTGTGATCTCTTCAGAAACACTACTGGATGTAACTGTTTTTTTTTTCAGTTTAATCTCATTACTTTTTAGATACATAAACTAAAAAAGCCTTTATTATGTATATTATGCATTATTTTTCCAAGTTCATTTGGCAACGTATGTGGTGCATAAATTGCACAGTTTAAGCACTTTGATGAGTAGCCAACAGACATGTCTTCACATTAAATTGTAAGCTATTTTATTTATTTATTTATTTTCCCTGGCGAGAAAGGAAAACTGCTCTCTTTATCTGCTCTTTCTCTAAGGATAATTTAATTTTAATGTGATCCTTGCACCGGGCAAGAACAAATACATTTTCTGGCGGTCTATAACCTTGATGGACATCACTAATTAAGGGCAATCATTATCCTACACAGCAAAACTGTGTTCCTACCAATCATCAAATAGAAGCCAGTGAAAGCATTACACCAACAATTTAATAATGTTGTCCTCTACACCTACTTTAAAATGATTTACTCTATGACACTCTCTCTCTTTCTCTTCATTTATCTCCTGTCCTCATTAGGTGGTGTATTTCTCCGCCACGTATCCTTACTTCATGCTCTTTATTCTGTTTTTCCGTGGAGTCACACTCCCTGGAGCGTTAGACGGCATCCTCTTCTATGTCACCCCAGACTTCAACAAGCTATTGAAATCTGAGGTAAAATTAAACATACTGAAATTTATTTGATATTTTAAATGAAATTTGATATATTAAATGATGCATTCTTGAATCTGAGATCTTCAAACATCGTTATATATTTTAAGAACATTCACAAAAACCTGATGAGAGACATGTTTGAATTTTTTTAGGGAGTAACTAAACTGTAATAGCGATGCTGTTAACTCATAGATACTCATAGAACACTAATTCAAAGCTATACACGCTTTTCATTAAGGATAGACGCTGCATTGTACAATTGTATATAAATCGATGCCAATAAAGCTTAATCCCTTTTTATGAATTTACACTCTTGTAAAAAAGAAGTACACTTTAGCATACTTTTAAAAAGTCGACAGAGAATGTAATTTTACTGAACAACTATGGAATTATTTTACAGACATTTCGCTGTTCTCTAACTTCTGGTACTATCAATATTTCTCATTTCAAATTTCTTCTCAGGTGTGGTTGGATGCTGCCACTCAGATCTTCTTCTCTTATGGTCTGGGTTTAGGTTCTCTCATTGCTCTGGGAAGCTACAACTCCTACAACAATAATGTCTACAAGTAAGAACTACTAGTCTCTGTCCAAATGCACAGAAATTGTGCATTTATGATGATTACATTTCATACAATCTGATGTGAAAAACTGTCTTTAACACAGTGCCTTTTCTATGAAATGCTGTTCAGTTTACACTGTACCTTTGTTGTCTTGTGATTCAGTTGACTTAATTCTTGTTCCTTCTGTAGAGATTCTATCATTGTGTGCTGTATTAACTCCTGCACCAGTATGTTTGCTGGGATCGTCATATTTTCCATTGTGGGCTTCATGTCATACATCACAAAGAGACCCATTGAAGAACTGGCTGCTTCAGGTCATTATGTCTCTCAGACATTATCAAATTTTATTGTTGCAAAAAGATTTACACTTTTGAATACACTTTGTTTTAACTGAATGTAATATTTTCTGTCATGTAATTGCATGTTAATTAAATGAAAATATTACAGTTTAAATTTATATTAAATGCAATTATACAAACTGTAGACTTAAAGTATATCTGTATATATAATTTCATAACTACTTTTTTGTCTTTTAAATATGGTTAAAGTGTACTGCTGAATGTATGCCATGCATTTAAATGTTGTAATGATGTAGCAATTTAGTACATTTTAAATGTAATATTGAATAAAACATTAGTTAAAATTACATGCAAAGTACTTCACATATGCTTCAGTATGTTAGTCAGCAAATCAAAATAAGTGTATTACTTAAAAAAATGAAAGAAAAAAAAATACTCAAAATGTCACATTTAAAATGCGCTTTAATTAACGTAATATGAGTAATATTATAGTGATATGGTGAAAGTGGACTCATCTTGACACTTATGGTGTTTGATGGTTTGTGGTTCAATATCAGGTCCTGGTTTGGCATTTCTGGCCTATCCGCAAGCTGTCACACAGCTTCCCATGTCTTCACTCTGGGCTATTCTCTTCTTCTCAATGCTCATGATGCTGGGATTGGACAGTCAGGTATTTTACACATGCATACACATATGATAAAGGTGACTGTCGAGAAACCCCCCCCCCCCCCCCTTTTTATAATTTATTTGAAGAGTCTAAGTTATTGTTTTTAGTAGTTGACATGATGCCTCAGAGACGATAGAGTTATTGATAGAGCTTGTATTGAACCCACAATATTCCTCTAATGGTGCTACATTTAGCAGCATTGCACCATTATTCTTCTATAGATTTCAGAGCTTAATGATTTTTAATGATTAAAACTAAACAAGTTATAAATTATTCATGTGGTGTTACTTTAGTTTTGTTGTGTTAGGTAGGTGAAAGTAATGCCAAAGATCACAAGAGAACTCAGCACATTAAAATAAGTTCAGTCAGGACCATTCTGTTTGATTGAGATTATTGTCGAGGTCCTGTAGAGGTATTTTGGCGGCAGGCTTTGCTCTGAAGGGTTCAGATTCTGAGCTGTCCACAAGCAAACCTCACTGAGGTTTGAAACCCCTGAAGCCTAATGCAATTACCAGAATTTTTTATAAGCAACAGATATAAAATTCCATGCAGAAGTGATACAGGTCCATAAATAAGACTGGACAATATTAAGCTGCCTCCATAAGGAGGAGTTGGGGATGGAGGGGGGCAATCGCATGTCCGTGCGAAAGACTAAGGCAAGTATGGATGAACTTATATATCTTATTTAATTGTAGTGGGAGGAGTTACAATCACACAAAACGCTAGTTCTAAAATAACTAATTACTGTTAGATACTGTTAAATAACTAACTACTAAACAACTGAAATGGCAATTATTTACTAAATTAAATTGCTCAGACATGATTTGCAACACTTTAATGCTTTTTATTTTACAATTTTTACACTTTTACAGTTTTGTACAGTGGAAGGCTTCATAACTGCTCTAATGGATGAATATCCCACAGTCCTGAGGAAGAGAAAGAAACTGTTCATCCTCATTGTCTGTATTATATCCTTTGTCATTGGTTTCTCCAACATCACCCAGGTAAAGATTACCACCTGAAGACCTTTCTGTTTTATTGTGTAGGACGATTGACTATTTTCTTGAGTTTCTAATAGTAATGTGTGTGTTCTTTGTTTTAGGGTGGCTTATATGTGTTTAAATTGTTTGACTACTATTCGGCCAGTGGAATGTGTCTCCTGTTCCTGGTCTTCTTTGAGACAATCTCCATTTCCTGGTTCTATGGTATATCTCCTATACTATGAACATATATTCGATGTAAATGTGAAGTGAAGTTTCTAAAACTAAACAGCTCAAGCTGACCTTCTTCCAGTTATGTTAAAGAAATAATATTGGTTAAATACAACTTAAATACTTCAACTGTAAGTGCATTATTTTAACTACTGGGTATTGTAACTACATACTGTGTTTACATTTATAAACTATTTTTTCAAGACAAAATTACTTGAAAATCTTTGACACTACTTGAAAACTGGAGGGAGTCATATGGGAATGTTAATATGCTGGGTTCCTGAATCCTGTCTAGTTCCAAGTATGTATTGGAAAAAGGGTTACTGATGGAAGAAGGAGCTCTTACTAGTAGATCTAGCTTGCTTGATCATTGTAGATATCCATCTCTTCTCTCTCTTTAGGCGCAGATAAATTCTATGAAAATATTGAAGATATGATTGGTTATCAGCCTTGTGGCTTTTGGAAATATTGCTGGATTTACTTTACTCCAATAATCTGCTTGGTAAGTACTTCATCTGCAAGCAATGATAATAAACTTAGAGACTATTATGGGCTGTGAACTTAACATGTTATTATTGTAAAAATTAATAAATAAATAATAATAATAATAATAATAATAATA